CAGTGCCTTTAAATTTTTATTTTCTTCCCCTCTTCCCTCCCCTCGGCCGGTTGGCGTCTGTTTTCCTGTGCAAGCCAGCTGGTGTTTCTTACTTTTCGGGAGTTGAACGTTGGGCTTCATTTAACCAGTCGCATTTCAGACATTTTTACGGTTTTTTACTAATTTGTACACAAACTGTTTTAAGTCATGACATGAAAATTTTTGAACAATTCTACCAGGTGGCTGTTTAAGGGAAAATCCTCCCTTTTTATTTATTTTTTTTTTCCACATACAGTTGCAATTTTTTCTTCTTTTTTTTTATTTGCCCTCCCAAATTTCAGCTGAATGGGCACAAAATGTTGGATGTACTACTTTAACTTGCTTTGTTGATCCAGTTATTAAATGTGAATCGGTACTACTGGATATGTCAACTTGTGAGCCATCACTTTTCGAACACTTGATGGATCCAGTTGAACTGGAGTGAATAGTTTGATTTGTATAAAGTTTTTCTTTTTTTTGCACTTTTTAATTTACACGTGTGGAGAGGTGGCAGTGGTTTTTAATCACTTTTGTACATCAGCGGGGGAACATGCTTTATGTTCGAACAGCTGCTTGTTTCCTGTTGAGTGTAAGAACTTCCACTAAGCTGATAAACTATCCAGAGCTTGAGTAGACCCTCCCTCCCCTGATGAATGATCCCGAGCTTTCTTATTCCATTTTGCCTTCCTGTTCCAGTTGGACAAAAATGCATAAGCCGTGTGCCAAAGACGACGCGTCTTTCCTTTATCCATTGGGTTTGTCATGCTGAGCTTGTTGTCTTTTAGCCCAGCTGCTTTTTAGAGTTTTGAAAGTCTACCTCATTGTGGTCTGCCAAGTTTGCTGCTACTTGACAGTTGTGGAGTATGTTCAGATTGGGCACAATAAAGGTGTTTAAGCATTGCTGATTGGTCTGGGTTTTTAATGCTTGCTGCTTTTCTTGTTTTTACAAAATTGTCAGTTTTTTTTTTTTTGTCAAGGCAGATAAAAGTTGCTATAATTGTCTAAAAATAGAGCATGCGTTCTAAGATGGCAACTTCACTACGTCTGACTTTGAAGTTTGTGAATTCATTTTCCCTCTGAGGCACAAATGAAAAATGAAAGAATGGGAGGGAATTATTTTTTTTAAATAACCCAATACTTTGTAGTTTTTATGTTTTTTATATTTTGACCCTTTTTCAAGTGAATTTGATGCCATTAGCTGTAGTTGCATGTGAAAGGATTTTGTACATGTTTCAACTTTGACTGGCAATATTTCTAAATTCTAGAAATGTTTAAACCCAAGTTGGTTTAATTCAGAACTGAAATTGCCTAGAACTGCTGACCGTCTAAAGCGGCTTCCTTTTGGTGCTGGAGCCAAAGAACAGCTAAACTTTCTATTTCTTTTTAAGTAACCAGGACAACTGCAGTCTACCATTTTTAAGAGCTTGAGATTCAAGAGTCAGTGATTTCAAGACTTTTTAGCAGAACTGCTTTGTTTTTAATGTGGGTGACATGTTCATATGATTTGCATGGTAGATCATGTAAAATGAGAGACTATTTTACATGATCTAAGACCTCTGGGTTATTTTTTTTAAGTGAAAACCTGAAGCAGATTCTAGATTTAAGGAACAAGCACTGGGCAGTTTCAGTGGCTCAAAATTCTGATGAAAGTACACATTTATTAGCAAATCAAGGACCCAGAATCTGGAAGAGTTGAACAGCCTGAAATCCAGAAGTTCTAACTTATTTTAGAAGCACTTGTGACTCACTGACCCACAGAAGTTGTGCTTAAAACTGCATCCAATGCACACAAATTTTGCTTGTAGGCATTTTATTTTTTTATAATTTTCTCAAGGATAAAACTGAGACACCAGTTCTAATTCCATCTCTTTATTCAGATGCTGACATGATTTCACAATCCTCGTGGCGTTTTGAAGTTCATTCCCACGGTTGGCTGAGTGACCTGAAGCTTGGGCAGGGCACCGAAATCCTAGGAAGAAACGCAGGACAAAGAATCGCCTTACGATGTTCCACTCTGGGAAGTACTTTGGTTCAACATGTGCTGCTCATACAACTAGAATTTAAAAATTTCAGACATCTATATTTGGAAAAACAATATGGTTTCAGATTTCAGGCTTACCAGCATCTTGAGCATTTCTTTTGTATCTGGATCCACCTCAATGATCTCTTGGTCCAGAGCTGAAATCTGCAACACGCCACAGGCTTTGGTCAGGACACTGGGCCTAACGGACTACCTTTGGACACCACTGGTCCACTGTGACCTAAGCTTATGACAAAATGGCTGCTGTACCTCGGGGACGTAGTTGTCCCTCCTCTCCCTCTCCTCCTCTTGCAGCTTGATGGAGATTCCTCTGACAGGACCGCGCTGGATGCGTTTCATCAGGTGCGTCACATAGCTGAGACACAGCAGAGCGCATGATTACAGGAAGAAGCTTGGAAAATAAAACGCACCTTGCACTTCACCTTGAAATTTATCACACAGCATATTAAGCCTCAACAGTCCAACAAGATAAAAAAAATGCTCAGACCAACATGCTCCACTGCTCCCCCTGCTGGTCCAAAGCAGACCCATCTTTTCTGTGCTCGTAAAGTAAACGATGTTTGAATGTGTGCTCTTCCAATTTCCTGTTCCAGGAAAACTTAAACATTTACAAGTTTGGAGAAACTCCACAATATGGACGCCTTCCTTGTGTTGGGCCACTCCCGACCTGTTGCACCTGCCTGGTCTAACTGCACACCGGTCCAACATCATATGTGAGGATGAATGGAAATGCAGCTTTTTATGTGGAAGTAAAAGTCCCAGAGTCAGAAGGAGAAGTGGAGAAGTGCAGGTTTCTGAAGGTCTACAGAGATGTTTTCTACTGGTGGTGCAGCAACTCACCACAATCAACCCTGATCATTTTTCACATTGTAAATAGGCTTGGAGGCAGAAGGAGGAACAGATCCACACACCGGGAATATTCTGGAACCGTCACAAGAAACAAAAATAGATCAAATGTTACAAACCCTGCAACTTTGTTTCGCAGAGGTTTGCTGGGGATGATGGCGATCTCCTCACACACCCTCTTGTTGGTGTGGAAGTCATTGCCCAGCCGGGTGTAGTATTTCTCAATGATGACCCTGGCGGCCTTCTTCACCGTCTTGGTCCTGACGCGTCCCTGAAGAGAGCAAATGAAAAACCGTCACGTACACGGGATATGTTTAGAATTCAATTTTTAAAAATGAAACGCATGTGGATTTATTGCAAGAGAAATTGATTTCTGCCAAATGTTCATTTCTGTTGATTCTGGCGTACAGCTAACAAAGATACTCTTTTATAATTTTACATAAAAACTGATGCTGCTTACAGACAGCATGCTGAAAATAATGCTTGTATATGAACTGTTTTTTTTTTTTTCACTGCACCCTTTCAGCATGACATGAGTTTCTGCTGAGGCGTTCAAGAAAAATCTGGATTTAATTACAGCCTGTAGATAATATTATTGGCTCTGGTGTTTTATCTTCCGCCACAGACTCTTTTAGAGTTCATGTGAGGTCAGTTTGATAATGCAACAGTTTTTGTTCTTCCACTCAACGTTCTGTCAATACAGTTCTCGCCAGTCAGCTTGCATAGTGATGACCTTTAGTGGTTGACAGGAGGCCTGAGTGTCTTCCCCATTATTGTGCGATTTCTGCATAAAACAGCCTGGCTATGCAAAGTTTAAAACATGTTTTAGAGAACTGAACTTTGTTTATACTAGCTGTTAAAAAACACCTGTGTACCATTTTAACTCTTTAAATAATAATAATATAAAAAAATCACAATATTGTATTCCAATTTACTGAAATGCATCCAGAAAATACATTTTGATCAGCTGTATTTTCAGCCTTATAACTGATCTTTAAATAAAACTCTACAGTAAAATAAAGTGTTTATTTACAAGTAAAATTAGGTCAAGCTGGGTACATATATATAAATATTAAGTCAATTTCATGTTCCTTGTGTTTACACCAACTAAACACAACGTAAACATTTGACGCAGTCGCTTTGTCAGTACGTAATATTTGTTCTTTATACATAAAATGACTATAAATAGGAGCGAAAGGTGCCGCCGTTTCTCCGGGTCGCTAATCAGAGCAGGGACACAGTTGACGTGTTTAATGTGTTATCCTCTCTGCTAACGGCAACAAAATCAGGTCGTAGAGGGTCATTTAAATGGATAAATACGGCGTGGTGGTCGTCAGTTTTCGGTGAGTGAACACGTAAGGAGGATTGGGAAGGATTGCGCCCGAAGTCGAGGTGAAAGGTTCCCTGTTGTACCCACCATGTTGGCTCTGACCGGTGGAAAAGAAACGCCGGCGCGCGACACCGGATGTTTATAGTCGGAGCTCCAAACAGACGCTGCAGAGCTGAAACCATCACCGCCACCTGGTGGTGGGAGGAGAGAAACGACCTGATAAACCTCTCAGCGGACATCGGAATTAAAAGGTTTGTTTCGCTTTTAAAAACGAAAATAAAACTTTCTCCACGTCAGACCGAGACAGGACCGATTTGGTCATGCAAGAAATTATGGCTGACTGGGATTTAATTAAAACTATTAACATAAAAATTGTTCACAGGAGGAACAACAAAGTTCTTCCCGACTGTATAAATGTGGTCACATTAACAGCTTGATTTCTCTAAAATGTGTGAAAGATTGTGCAACAAACTGAATAAATTATAAGTGTACCTATTGCACTTTTCATGCTTAAAAAGCATGATCAGCCAATTATGATTTTGTCAGATACTTTTTAAAATGTATTTTATTTTTTTGCCAAGTTTGTAGACAGTTCTGTCACGTCAGCTTCTCCTCATAGCAGACTCCAAAATTAAGGAAATCGAGGTCGATTCGAGTTCATCCCTGGTAAAAAAAAATTAAATGCAGGCTGAAATCAATTTACGGATCTTTACCACAGATTTATGAGTGTCATAAAAATAAAAGAAAAATCACAAGTAGACTGAAAAAGGTGGACTGATCTTTTATTTTACATAAAAAGGGTGCAAATTGGAGATTCCCTTTACGTGTGGAGGGAATAAAGTGATTTTTCGAAGGTTTATTGTGTGAGACACCATTTCATGAGTCCAAGAAAAACAAAGGGAAAAAAAACCAAACAGTCATCTCAGATAAAAAGGCCATTTACCTTTCTGCAACTTAAATATATGAAATTATTAAAAAGGAGAAATGGTGGGTCCTTCATACTTGAAGCCCTTGACTAACTCATTCAAATACATTTTGTTGAAGTGACATTCATATTTCAACACAATATTATTTATTTACAGATTAAGGATTTATCTTAATCACAGCTCTATTTAAAAAAAAAACAACAAAAAACGCAGAGGGAAAGATAGATTCTTGGAGCTGTACAATTTGATTTTCCGCAGTCTGAGAAAAAGAAATCAGAAATCAGTTTTTTAATAGAAATTCCCAACAAAGACTACAATTGTGAGGCTCTGTACAATTTACAATTCAAATAATCAACACAATATTGCAGTACATACCACCTCTCCCTCAAAGAAACAAGGTACAGTAAATCAAACAACCCTACAGTACAGCAACGAGGGGCAGGGGGAGAAAAAGTGCCAGAGAACCCCAAAAGAAAAGAAACAAGAAAAAAGAAAGATCATTCATGCGCTCATTTGCTTTGATTTGATTTACACACGTACACAAATACACACGAAAGCCATAAACCGTGACCGACATGAACAGAACTGGAATGTGCAGCAAAAAACAAAAGAGAAAAAGGTCGCAAGGAGCGGAAGCTGTATCGTCTCGCGGATCCAACATCGAGATAAAGAGACCGCTCGCCATGCAGAGACACCTCACAATGAGTGTGGCGCTTTAAGACAAATCCAGAGTAATATAGCCATATATACCAGCTCAGCCAGAAGCTATAGAACTAGATGCTGCGTCACAAACTCGGCAGGGAAACGTAAGCGTGGGTCTACAAGGCGGTGGGTTTGGCCCTCCCTTCCCTTTTTTGGACTTTCTAAGACGGAACGAGTCGTTAAAAACACCGGCTGGTATGGCACCGAGCTGCGCTGCTCTGCAGAAGAAGAAAGAAACGATAGGCGACGCATTCAAGGACACGGGGGTGGAGTGACAAAGGAAAACATTCATCTTGATATTTTCCTGGCACAGGAAAAGGCATGGACTAGTAGTAAAAGCAGTAGTAGTCTCGGAAATGGCACTCGGCGGGGGAATCCGGGGCTGGGATACGAGAAGGCTAAATAGTCTGGATTACTCCATCTCGATAAACGGAATGCTTTTTGAGCGCAGGAAGCTGGAGCGACGCGGATCCAGCTGCCACCGACGACCTGACCTCAGATCGAATAAATGAATAATCGGTCATTCAAATAGCTTCGCCTCCCATTGTTTCCCCATTAAACCCTCTACGTGGAGCTACTGCGAACAAAAGAAGCAAAAAAAGAAGAAGAGGCAAGAAAGAAAAGAAAAACAACAAAAAAAGTGTTCCTATAGATTTACATATTCAAGTACTTTCGATAACACAATAACTTAGGCTGCCCGGAGAAAGTCACGCACCGGGTTGAGGGGGGCGGGGCTTAAAAACAAACAAAACAACAACAACAAAAAACCGGGCTGTACAGTGTAAATACAACTAGGAAGCAGGTTTACATACGGACTCATCTACAACATTCTAATGGAGCAGGTCCACAAAACGCCGAAGCGGACGCTCCACCGAGCGTCGCTTCATCTCACACTGACGACGTGTCGGTGTGTGGAGGGAACAGAGGGCCGAGTGGAGGGCGGCCACGGCACCACGACGAACAAGGAGCCCTCCCCAACCAGCACACGAGGCAGCTACAATTAAAGTAATAAGCACGTTCAAAGTGGATTTTTTTGTTTTGTTTTGTTTTTTTTAAGAAGGCAGGGTCTCCTCTGGGAGAGCCGGGGTCAAACAAATGTAGTGCAGTAATAATCAAGCTTTGTTTTGTTTGCCCCGTCTCTTTCCCTATAAAAACCATGGCTAACTGGAATGAAAACAACAAAAATATAATTGCATTAGACAGAATTCACATTAGCATAGAATGACAACACATGAAAATCTTTTGTTTTTGTTTTCCTGTTATGATAGGCAAGGTGAGATATTGTTTCAAGGCATTCCTCCGCCGCAGAGTTTCTGTCCGCGGTTGGAGCGGCGACCCCGACGTCGAAACATCTCTTTGCAGCACAGGGGCGGTGGTGGCGTTGGTGGGAGGGGAGCGCCTTCGGTTCTGGCTTTTGTTTTTCTTTTGTTTTCCTCCTTTTCGGTGGGAAATACATTTCCGTGTTAAGAAGAGAAAAGCCGTGGCCGGCCTTCGATGGCTGCGAAACAGTCTCTTGCTTTGGGTTTAATCATTTGGAAATCACACACACAAACAAAAAAAATAAAACAAAAAGAAAGAATAAAAAATTTAAAAAAAATCTCACAACCATGCTGTCATCTTGCTCTCCAAAGCAAAGCGAAACAACGCGGCGGTCAGTCGGGTTTGGTGGATGGAGGTTAAGGCATTGGACAGAGCGGTTTTCAGAGGCGGTGACTCTCCAGAGCACGCTGTCCTTCCAGGGTGGCATCGGCTGATGGCTGCTGTGGTCACAAAGTCCAGGAAACCCTTCCTAATCTGAACTGGACTCAGTGTTTTTTTTTTTTTTTTCCTTTTTAACAATGACGACAAAAAAAAAAAAAAAAAAAAAAAAAAACTAATTTTGTTAAACTTCTTAACTGCAACTTCCTTCCCATGCACTGGAGAGATAATAGAAATGCTCCAGTCATTTCACTCATCTGTCAATACATTCAGTGTGTATGCAGTGTGTAGGAAAAGTAGTAGCAACTAAATAGCATTTCTCCCCTAACCCCTTCAAGCCCCACGCAGAAACATCAGGTCGCTGCTCGTTATCGCCAGCAGTAAAAAGAGGGACTGTAGTGTATTTCGGTTCAACGAAAAGATGTCCTGCGAGAACCGGAGAGACTGCTAATACTCCTTTTCGCCTTCGTGTATTCAGCTGCTTGTCCCGCAGCGGGAAATGATCCAGAAGAGGTAAAAAAAAAAAAAAAAAAAAAAAAAAAAAAGCGAACGAGTCGGTGAACTAACGGAGAGGCCTGGCGAGGTGAATCGCGTTTAAACGACAGGACCTGACGGAGCGATGGAGGCGAGATTCTACAGGAAGATTCTGTCTCTTCCTCTCTCTCAAAAAAAATTTTTTTTTTAATGAAAAGAAAGAAATATGGCAACAATGATGAGAGAAAGACATTTTGGTTGTCACGGAGAAAAAAAAAAATATAATCTTGGGCCGTCTGTCCTGTAAAACATCCCATATAACTTAGAGGAATGGGGGGAATAAAATAAAAAAACTCCCATCATAAGACATGTTTCCTGTACATCTCCGCAAACCACGGTTTGGTTTTTTGTGTGTGTGTGTGTGTGTTTCACTTTTTTTTCTCTTTCCTGTCAAAGCGGTCCTGGCCGAGAACAATTCAATCAGAATCTTTCAGTTGACTCCCTCTTTTATTCTGAGTGGGACCATCCAGGTTTCTGAAATCACAATCGACTCTAAGTGGACACGAGGAGCGGTTCGTTTCCGGTCCCCGGCTCATCATTTGTGCCGCGGCGTGTTCTTCTTCCGTTTTCGCCTGAAGAAACAGCAGCACCTGCGGACAAGACGGGGGAGACGTTAACGCGGACGTACGAGCAGCAACGCGTGACGCAGAGGAAGCGGGTTGCCTTAGAAACGCTGCTACGACACGGAAGAGCTAAAGATTTCCGTGGCTTAAAAAAAAAATCATTTTAGCATCAAGAACAAGGTGAAAGTCGGCGCTGGCATCCACTGTGCGTCTGGACGCTTATTCTCTCCCAAGGTTTTCATGTACAGGTGCATCTCAGTAAATTAGAATATCCTCAAAAAGTGACTTTTATTTCAGAAATTCCTTTCAAAGTGTGAAATGAATGCAGAAAGTGTTAAAAAGTGCATTTGTTTTTCACAAATGAGGAAATTAACGGATGGATGTACAGAAAATAGTCACTGAAGCTAAGCAAAAAAAGTCCTTGCAAAAGAAACTTATTCCAGAGTTGGAACCAAACAGTTGAAGGAAAACCTGTACTAAAATAAAAAGTGCCATTTACTCTGAAAAGCCGATTCATAAATTTGGTAGACGTTCAAAAAGTGTGCACTTCGCCTGGACTCGGTGCTTCCAGAGCTTCCACACACCAACGTGAAAAGCATTAAAACATGCAAAAGAAGCTCCGACCAAATATTCTGATCTAACTCCACCGAATGAGCTCAGAATATTTGCACAATACATGGACAAAATGTTTAGTCGGTGAAGTACCGGGTTGTATTTTGTTTGGTTTCCAAAAGTCGGATATTAGGTTGAGGGCTGAAACAATTGATCAATTATCAAAAAAATTGTCAACTAATTTCCAAATCGATTAATCGCTAACTGGGCAATATATACACTGAATGCCATATTAATGCATTTTAGGCAATACAATGATTATTTTCTTATTTAAAAAAAGACAGTGAACTATTTATTTGTGTCTTTTAATGTATTTCTAATGTTATATAAAAAGAAGCCTGAAGTGGTTAAATGAAAAATCTGCAAATTGCGTCAATTTTGATCAGATTAATCGATTTATCGTTAGGACAACCAATTATTAAAACAATCATTAGTTGCAGACCTAATTCATTTCCGTAATAATAGGAAATTAACAGAACCAAATGCTTGATATATCACTTCCTGTGTGTGTAGAGCAACTAAAGGCTCTGCCTTTTGAATCGAGTGACTGAAATGACCTCGACTTTTCAATGACACTCTCATTTACCGAGCGAAACCTGCGCATAAAAAGCGAGGGACGCTTTTTCCTTTATGCGCTGAAAGAAAAGCACACGAAAAGCACAAGACACGGCGAGCCTGAGCGCTCAGTACGGACACACAGAGACAGGACATAGGACAGTGACTGGGTTCTTTTCGATAAATAATGCCAAAACCAATAAATACTTAAAGCCTGTAAAGAAGCTACAGAAGCCTAATAAAAAGACCAGCTCAGTATTTTTGCCTTGATCCGCCACTAGTTCCAACATCATCATGAAAAGAAGAAGCACAACTTCACTTGTTGCTAAAATGACTGAATTCATTAGAAAAAAAACAATAGAAAAGCGCACTGTTTGTTTATTTGGGTTCAAGGCACTATTGTACCAGTGAGAGTCTGCTTAAACTTAGTGAGTAACTCCACTGGGCCCAGCCTAGGCCGGTCCACTCCCTGTCCCATGAGTATGATGTGGACAAGCAGAGAGGGACTCACCACAGGTTGAGCATTTTCACGCAGCTACAGAGGAAGAGAGAAGAAAGAATGTAAAGAGAAAAGAAAGAGATTAATACAGGAGGACGAGGTTTATGGGAGTCGGCGCACAAACGCCACACAAACACGCACACACACACAACACAGGTGGACACAGAGGGAAAGATGGTCTGAAAGAGCAAAAGGATTCCGTCTGATTTATTTAATGCTGCTGAACTGATTAGTGCGTCATGTCGAAGTCACATTTACACTCATATTCTGAAAGTCTCAAATTGCACAAAATCTTGAAAACGAGAGAAACCAGTACAGTAAGTACAACAACTGGATTTTATTGGAAGAAAAGTTCCTGCAGTTTGAGATATATAGAGGGAATTTTTTTGACATAATCAATTAATTTCAGCATATTGCTGAAAAAGTTTTTATTCCTAAATGTTTGAGAGAGCAGTTGGAAAGTTACAAAGTCTGAATCGAGCGTTTTAATTATGTTTCCTAAATGGCATCAATTTCTAGTTTTCTTGTTTAGTTTTGACCAATTTTTGTTTTGTTTTTTTTTAAACACAAGAGGAAAGCATGCTGCAGTTTTTCTGTTGCAGGCAGAAGTTTTGAATCCAACGGAAAATGAAGATTGTGGATGATCCACACTTGCACAGTCAAGCACCACCCAATCCCGGGTCTGATTTTTTTCCAACAAGAAGTTGGAAAAATCTACCAGGGAAAAGCAGAAGTCAAAAGTTCACAATGTCATTTTGATGGTTCTTAAAATGAGAAGAAATGTTGGACATCAAGATCAAGCTAATTTGTGTCAGAAATGTCCAAATCAAAGCACCGCTAATGGAAACCGCTTTTTTAAACGGCGAGATTATTTATGCATTCATGATATTTTCCTTCATGAATAAATAAAACGTCAAAAAGCCATCCATACGTGCAGTTTTAATTATTCATGGGTACAGACGGTATTAGCTCGAAAGGCAAAGCCAAGCTGCTTCGGTCACTGCGTTTACATTTATTGCAGGTTGTTTCTAATCGCAGACCAGAAACACACCATCTGATAAGGTCTTAAATACGTCACCCATCATGCTAAAGATTTGTGCGAGCAAAGTGGAGAGACTTGCAATCTGAATAAAAGGGAGAAACCTCTGCTGAAGGTTTTTGGTCATGATGGTTTGTCTCCTGAGAATGAAGGTAGTAACTCAGAAAGGAGTGATCAGCTCAGTATCACTGAAAAATCCTCTCATCTATGTCTCTGTTGGTACTTCTGTTAGTTCACTGTAACATAAAGTACATTTAATGTTCACATTTTCAAGAAAGTAAAATACATATCAACTAAGACAAGTGATGTCTGCAACAGCAATATGATAAGGCTAATAAAAAATGTAACCTTTCTTAAGTAATGAAAAGAAACATTTGTCCCCATTGTATGTCAGTGTAATTGACATTAAATAGTTTATTTTCTGTAAACTTTTCTCTTTTCTGACTTTAAGTGAAGAATAATAGCCATGTACAGCAGAAAGGATTAAATAAGTTTACACTTCTGCCTACCTCCTTTCCAAACAAACTATCAAAAAAATTCTATTTCAGTGTTTGAGTTGTGAATGTGAAGATGGTTACGTGTTGGGAAGATGTCGGCTGCATTTCCATTACAAATGTGCGGAAACGCAGTTTTGCAAATGCCACGTTTTCATCAAACACAATTAAATTGACACTGAATAAGTTTGTTCATGTGACAAGTCATTGAAAGGCCGGGCCTCCTGCAACTTCCTGTTGTCGTCTTTGTCTTTTTCCAGGAGAAACATCCAGTTGTTGATCACGTGTGTGATGTGAAAAAAGTGTTTCCATTGCAGTTTCGCAAAATGCACTAAATTATCCTAGCTCAAAAATTTATTTAAAAACGTGAGTTTATTTGAAATTGGAGTGTTTCCATTAAGCAAATTCATTCTCAGAATCCTAGTTGTTTAATATAATCAGCAATATTTCCTGTTTCTTAAACAAGTTTCAACAAACAGTTCCTCAAATATGTGGAAAAAACAAAACAACAACAAACAAACAAAAAAGAGCTGCTTTCTTAATTGTTTTTTGTTTTGTTTTGTTTTTGTGGACATTTGTTTCAAAACCGAAATAGGAATAATAATATGATCCCTTTATTTTGTGTTGGATTCAAAACTGTGCGCAAAACTTTACAGATATTCCGCTAACTGAAAGAGGAATCAGCAGCACTTTTTGTACAGAGTTCTTTGTAGTCAAACTGAATTACTATATTTAAAGCAAAGGCTACATAAAGCTCCTCAACAGAAACTTGAATCTTATTAATTGATCTGAGTCAAATTGAAGTATTTAAGAGAAATTCACTGAGATAACATGACAGAAAAGCTCAAGTTCAGTAAATTATAGCAAAAGGTCTGGGCTGTAACATTCCTACACCCTAAGGACAGAGAGGCACAGAAGGAGGAAGACTGGAAGGAGGAAAGCAAGAGAAGGACATGGCAGAGAGGCACGGAGGCTCCAGGATACATACTTGGGCTCGTCGACCACTTCCACTTCTGCCTGAGGTGTAATCGGGGTGTTGGATTGAGCCAGCGGGTCGTCTGCGTTCAGCTCGCCGTTGGTTGAGCTGACCACCTGAAGCAAAGACGGGTGTTACTTCTGATTAAAAGTTTGAAACTGCCACAGTTTCACCCAGTAATGCTGGCCAGAAAACGACACGAGACACAAACACTTTGGCAGCTCAGCTCTGGTACAGAGTCTCAAAGCCCATTTCCAAGAGTTTTCTTCCCAAACAACATGGAGGGTAGAAGCCAAATACAATGTTCAATCTAAAGTAATTGCTAAGAAACACACCTGGTAAATGCTGGTAGAGATTTTATAATATGACTAAAAGAACTCTGAGCAAAGATTTTAACATGAAGGGTAAAAACTCCCCCCAAAAAACTCTACTTAGAGTTATGAAACTGTATTTGTAGCTCCAATTATGAACTCAAGTATTAAACTAAACTTTGTTTAAAGGGCATAATGAATCCCCATAATTCAAAAAACTAGTGAAATACTATAAAAATACATATTTAGCAGTTTTAATATGTCTTTCACTGTAAAGTCATAGCTTTTCAAATCCATTTAAGAAAGAAAGACAATTAACTAAAAACACATTTGCTGAAAATTTAATACATTTTTTAAAAATTTACTAATGTAGACTTTTTTTTTTAAGCCATATTTTATTAACTTGATTTAAACATTTCTACTTGACAAATTGCACCTAAAATTAAAGTAAATTTTATTGGTAATTTCTCATTTGCCCACAACATATTCACACCTTATTAAGCAAACCTGGTAAAGGTAAAAATAAATAAATAATAAATACATAAACAAAAATAACGAGAATCACCCTTTGAGCAACAACAAACCATACCCAGCGTGCACTTCCTTGGCAGAGTCAATTCATCCTGCCATGCAAAAGGTGTGCTGATTTTTATAAAAGAAGTGCCTTAGAGTCATTAAATGTAGAAACCAGAGCTCAAAATGCAAAAGGGATTCCAGATGCCAAAGAAAGAAAAAAAAACCAGGACATTCACTCTGAACATGTGGGGGGTGGGTGGCACCAGGTCACATGCATACGGTGGAGCAGAAAACATTTCCCAGCCAGGGGTAAAGAAAGTAAAACGCTGTAGATCTGTCTCACATAAAAGGCAAAGCTACTATGTAAAACGACAACAAAAATACTTTATTGACTTTATTAAAGTCTCATAAAACTCTAAATAATAATACAAAAAATGCACTAAGAAATAAAACTATGCAGGGAATCATTTGTGTTTACATTGTAAGTGCAGGGATACTTTGGATTTATGAGACAGATCTGACTTCATGGAGACTGTGGGTGGTGGTGGTGGTGGTGGGGGATTCGGGGGGTGTTGGCTGATCGGGTAAAGGGGTGTGTACCTGCACTGAGCCCCCATGCCTGTCCGCTGCCAGGTGGGAGGTCAAATAGGAAGAGTTTGCTTGCCGCGTGGGCTGCACCTCCCATGCTCCTCGTCGGTCTGAGCCTGCCGTCTGCTCGGGAGTCGGGGGTTGCCATAGTGATGTGTGTGGGGAAGAGGGGTTCGGGGGTGAACGAGTTGAGGTGGGTGGGTGGGTGGGGGGGGGTGCAATGGGAGAGGGAAGGAGGGGTGAGGGTGATGGAATAATTGCATTAGAAAAGATGGCATTTGGGTGTGTGAAGCAAGGTACCATGCGAAAGCAGCATGACCAATGAAGAAAACAAAATAGTAAAAAAAAAAAAAGAACAAAACCATAAATTAAAACAAGAAAGAAAAAAAATCAAAGCAAGGCCTGAGAACTAAAGCCAAAGGAAAAAAAAAACAAAAAACAAACAAACAAAAAAAAAAAAAACAGAAGCTCTTGCAGTTCGAACTGAGTACAGAAATTCAACCCCCCACATATGGATGAAAATCTTTTGAAATACTTAGAACTAAACTCTTCACTTGATATAGCACAAAAGTTACTAACATACGCTCCTCAAAAAAGGTGATTTCAGATTTACAAAAAATATTCAAACCACTTGAACTTTTAGATTTTGTCTCATTATTGTAACAGTGCTATTGTTAAATAGAGGAGTAATGATGTGCTGACTTTCTGAAGTATCACATCATTAAAAACCATCATTCAGAAAGTTTTTAGAGACAGAGGCCTAATTTCAAAACCCTACATTAGGAAGTTATTTTTTATAGTCATCTTTGATATGTGTAACATTTTTATAGCAACTGAACATAACATACTTAATTGACTATGCTGTAAAATATCACTATGTGAATGGAAATCACATAACTCTGCCCCTTTAAAAGATCAAATCAGGCCAGTTTGGGTTCGATATTCTTGCACATGGCTTTGTAAAGTTGCTAACCAGCTTTACCTTACTGGAACTGACTCTCTGCTCTGAAACATACCTGATTTCGAACCGGAGCGTGCTGCGAGGGCCGGTCTCTGTGAGGATGGCTCTCTCTTGTTACCGCAGAGGCAGCAGAGTCTATACTGACAGATCCTACCGGCGTGGGCTGGCGGAAAGGAAAGAATGAGCTGAATTCGAGGATTGACGTATTTCAGGCACAACCTTGGAAACAACACGGCTCACTTACTATCTGCCTCCCAACCCAGTCGTAAGTGTAGTCAAAGGTGTATCCTTTTCTCTCAAACAGCTCAGTAAATAGATTCCTCAGATATTCGTAGTCAGGCTTTTCGAAGAAGTCTAACCGCCTAACATACCGCAAATAGGTGGCCATTTCCTCTGCGTGAGGAAACAAAAAAGAAGTTTGATATGGGTAGAGTACAGGTTAACACATAATTACTTGAAAATACTAAAAACAATTTATTGTCCAGGAAAAGTTTATCATAACAGGCCCACTAGTAATGTAGTGTTTACAGCAAAAGCTTTAAAACAAACTTAACTGAAATTTCTTCCTTTTCTAGTAAATACTATTTCATTTTAAGAATTACAAAGATTATTTATTTTATTTTTTTTAATAATCAGAGTGAATTCATAAACTCATCAGCAGCAGCATACCTGGAAAATTCTCACAGAGGACTTCAATAGGAGTGTTTCGTTTTGTATCACCAATCTTCTGGTATCTTTCTTTCAATGTGTCAGCCTAAAAATAAATAAATAAATGTCATCATCATAAAAGAACATTTCAGTTCTGTTATCTGAAATATTAACTTTATATTGAATAACACAAATGGTTATAAACATGCTAGAGAAATCTCTTTATGGAAAGAAAAAACAAAAAAAAAACATTTTAAATGTGGGATCTTTTGACCAATATGCCACAAGACATCATACTGGAAAATCTGACGTTCCCACTGAATTCCTTGAAGTAAATTGTGAATAATTTGCTGCACATCTCTCCCCCATATTCCAGTCTACAAAATCTACACCAAGTCAAAATCTGCATCGTTTATAGAATGAAGATTTGACATCCCAACAACTGTCCAAAATTGATCCAAGGGTAAAAATCCAGAAGCACAGCCTTTTGTCTTGTTTTTATGCCATTTATTGACATTACTCTATAAGTCAACAAAGTAGAGATACATTTTATTAGTTATTTTCTAAATTTGGTGAAGCCAGTTCCAAAAAAGACAAAGTATCAACTTCTAATGGTTAAAATGAACATATACACTCTTACATCAACTGTGACACCTTTCTTTTTAATGACGAATGTTTTCCTAAGCAAGGTATGAAACATTCTGCGGCAGATTCGGCGACATGGCCATTCCCTCGTCATACCTTCAGTCCTTGCCAAGGTAAACTCCCACGCAGAAAATACATGAACATGTGCCCTAAAGCCTCCAGGTCGTCTCGTCTGCTTTGCTCTGTATCAACACATTTTATTTTATTTTTTTTCATTTTTACATTCCGTTTACAAAAAAGCAAGGTTTTAAAAGTTCAACTTTTAAAACTTTTGTAAGTAAACCTTGAAACTTTATTTTGTCAAGATAAATTTACAAACTTGAATGTGTTTTTTGGGGATTTCATGTGACAAGTTACAAAGTAATCCATGATTGTAAAGTTGAAGCAAAACAATACTAAAAGGTTTTGACAGAGGACTGTTGCTCAGTGGGTAGAGTAGTAGTAACTTCCTCCTGCTACATATCATCGTGCCTCTGGGCAGGGCACTAAACCTTATGGTGCGTTCACCCCAAATGCGTTTTGAGCGTCAGGCGCCTCCAGTTTACATTCAAAGTCTATGTGGAGGTGCGTTGAGGACCGTCGCGGTGGGTTTCGAGCGTCTAGCGCAGCGCAATTTGAAGCGTTTTGAGCGTTTGACATTCCACACGTTTGGCGTGAACGCACCATAAAGTTACCAATCAAACTACGTATTGGTGCATGAATTTAGAAATATTAGCGTAGAGAGTGCTGAATGTAAATTCTCACCATGATTTCTGGATTTTTATTTGTAAAAAAATTAAAAATGTAAACCATAACTCTTTTACTTCCGCTTTAAAAGTTTAGCATTACTTTGTTGTATGAAATCCCAATAAAATAAATCAACGTTCAAAAGTTAAGAACACAAAATGGGGAAAAGTTGAGTGCTAGCACGACACTGTATCAAACTTCAACAAAATCACAGATTTGGTGTTGTCTTACCTTTGCCTAAGTGTGTGTTAATGGACATGTATCTGGCAGTACCAGTCAGGCTCTTATGCTCCCGGTATGGAATGTGTTTTTTGGTCTCGGGGTCGATGTACTCTTTGGCCAGGCCAAAGTCAATGATGTGGATGATGTGGTCCTTTTTATTCCCTTGCCTTCCGATGAGAAAGTTTTCAGGCTTGACATCTCTGTAGATGAGATTTTTAGAGTGCACGTACTCCATTCGAGAAATCTGGTGTGGGGAGAAACATGAGGAATCAGCCACAGAAAACATTCCAGCGTCCTCCAAATGAGGAAAAAATAACAACTTGGTACCCACCAGCTGAATTGCAATCATCAAGACAGTCTTCAGTGAAAAGGTCCTGTCGCAAAGATCAAAGAGATCCTCCAGACTCGGCCCCAGCAGCTCCATAACCATGGCGTTGTACTTCCCACAGGGGCCGAAGTAGAACACCTGTGGCACTCCCTCTGCTGGACAAGTGAAATGACACAAAGACTTAAGGATAGACAAAGAGGAACCTGTTTAAAGGCACATCCCGCCCTTACCCAACATAACAGTAAACAGAACGCGGTGTCTCATCAGGGGTTTGGGTTGAGGGTAGTGGTACAGATGAAATATAATCGTTTCACAGACTTGCAGCACAAACTCCCATTACAATCATATCCTCCAAGCTCCACTCAGTCTAATTGCTTCACATTTTCATGCATTCATCATCTCGTCTCTTTATTTTATTACTTGCCAATGAGCAGTTTACTGCTGAGTGGGCAGTCTAATGTGACTATAATGATGGTAGAGATGAGGCCCTTTTACTACTCTGTTTGGGTTGTTTGTCATGGTGGCCTTCTGGGCATTGAAGCTCTTTGTTTCAGAAGAGCATTAAGAAAAAAAAAAAAGCCAGAGCAGCTTCCATGTGAAGTCCTTCAAAGTAATTCTTCTTTAACAAAGGATTCACATGCAGAGATGCCGTGAGCGGAGGCTGTCATCCTGACTGCATCGTGGTTTCAAAGAACAGGAAATCAGGTCAAACTGGTAATTGGCTTCAGGGAAGCATGACTCAAAGTTTACCCCTTCTTCCTGCCAGTCAGTGCCTATTCAAAGTGTCATCCCAAGAAAGCTCAAAGAAAGCTTCCATTTTACTATAAAAGCTTATCAAACAAAGGTGTGGTCAATCCTGGGAAATTGGCTCTGGGAAGCGAGGGATGCAATGTTTGTTTTGCTCGGAAGATAATTTGATTTTAAAAATTGTTCACAAAAATATGTAAGTTGCCTAATGGAGGAGCAACAACTACATCTTGTATTAACTTGTTATAAACTTTATTATAACAAGTTAATACAAATGTTTATCTTTATGTTTGTTATTTCATCTTTATGTTAATGTTGCCATGATTTCTCAGTTTTATTTTTTGCTCTTTCTGCAGGTGTAGGAGCAGACTTCTCTCCTTGTTTCCCTTTAAACTTTTTCCCTACTCTTCTATTCTCCTTTCTTTTCCCATCTTTGTGTGGACTGCATTTAAAATAAAACCAAAGCGATTTCAATTAAACATATATTACAGTGAAAGCTGCAATGCAAGGCCTGTGAAAATAAACCTGTTGGGCCTCACTTTTGGATTCGGACAACAATTCAGAGTTCCACTCTGCCAGATGCGCAAAAAGAAAGAACAAGGGGAAGAAAGGCACATGGCAAAACAGAATCTAGTTGAGTGAAGAATGCTAACTTTTGCAAAAAACAAAAAACCACTAACTTCTGTTCAGATATCAGACATCGGGATTTTATACAGAGGCTATTGACCAGCTAATGCGAACCAAAACCCAAAGTTGGTTAGAAATAACATTCATGTAACTATTTTGTTCTTATTTCAAAATATTACAACTGTGTTACAGCAACAGCTCTCACACGGTGTGATGTTGACCCTGACTCTTGTATAAATAATGAATTCTAATGACCAGGAGAAGTTTCAAAGCGAGTCTTATGGTTCTTCAAGCGAAACTGGAAGTGGCTTAAAAAAAAAAAAAGATTGAAAGATTTTCAAGAACCAGAGATTGGAACTCTACTGCTAGTTGAAAATTGTGGACAGACATCCAAATGGCCCTCTAGTTTCAGTCAGTGCTTTAGGCATGAATTGTGAAAAGTGGCATTTTTGGCAGTAGATGGCGCATGGGAATGAAAAAGGCAAGCTGCGCTGCATCCTGTGCCATTATGTAGTTTCTGTGGGTTGTTAATTGCACCACAGAAATGAGTGGATCTAAACCCAGGGTGGCTGTGGGACGCCTAGAAACTGTTCAGACAAAAGACGCGCTATAAATTAGTGGAGAGGGTTAAAACAAGGCTGGTCAAGCTTTTGCGAGCTACTAAACATCACTGATGATGTGAGCATTGGTTTATGGAAAAAAACAGTCACGATAAGTAAAGACACTTTACAATACACAGGATTATAATTCTTTCCAGTTCTGTAAAACATCTTCCTTTTACCCATTCTTTCCTTGATATCAGTTGTGATTTTAATGAATTAAAAATGATGTTCTTGAAACCCCACAGAAAGCTCACTCCCATGTTTATTCCAATCCAAGCTGTAGAATGAGATGGTCACTCTTAGGAGAGTGAAGTGTTTCATGACGTGGCAGATAATACCTTTAACACCTCTTCTGTGTAAACCAACCCTTAGATGAACAGCTTTCCTCCTCAAACATCACCATCCTCATCTCTCTTCCTGTATGATTCGAGTCGAGCAACTGAAAGCCGACTCTTACGCCATGATGGAATCATCCTCATTAATAGCCAGGGACATTTGGTTACACATCAGCAAACAACACCTGACAGAGGGTCAGAGTAAAGCCGCATAAATTCATAAAAAATGCTGCCTGCACAGATGCAAACAACCCCTTCGCCTGAGAGGAATGTGGTACAGCGAGCAGCCAAGACGAAATGAGGTCACATTATCCCATCTGGAGGAGCGGACAGAGGTGGGCTAGCGCTAAGAGAGGCAAGGCCTGCTTGCTAAATATTTAATGGGTTTCCGCACAGTTGGCCTTTTCCAGTCTTTGCCTTTTGCAAAACAATAGCCATTATTCTCCCAGACTGATCATCATGTGCACCTACGAAAATCCAAAATCTCATCACGATTCGTAACTTTCCAACAGCTTTAAAGCCCTGTTCACTTTTTAATAAGTTTAGACATTTATAAATCAAACTCTGTAACAGACATAGTTATTGAATGTCGGCATGTTTTCTCTCTATTTTTGGGGGGGTTAAAACTGACACATTATGCTTTTGAGGTCATAACCAAAAAATGGATTTGCTATGAGTTATAAAAATAGGATTTGTGTGAAATACACAAAATCAGCACAATTTCCAATCTCCCATCAAAACAGAGTGCTTCTACAAACCTTTCTAAGCAGGTAAAAATTTATGAATGGACTTCAAAAAAGTCCATTCAGAAAAGTTTCAAGTTGATCAACAGATCAAGAACCTGATTGACTCCATGAATGAAAGGCTTAACACTATTACTGAAAAGGAGGGTGGCCATACTGTTCACAGATTCTTTTATTTTATTTTTTTTTATGTTGATTGGAAAATTTAGTGTTTGTGTCAAATTTTTATTTACCGAAAAATAATAAATTACTATGGGAAAATGTGTTTTATTTTTTCACATACTTGCCAAACAATTATGCACATAATAATGTAAGAAAAAAAAACAACAACTTGCTTTTACTTTCATAATCATTCATGTTTGAGGTTTATCAACATTTCTAATTAACCAGCAGCACTCTAGTGAATGAAAATAGTCCTCAAAAATGAGCTAACAGCTGTAGCATGTGTTGAAAACTAAATGTAGGGCTTTCATAAATCTAACGCTGAAGTTCAGATCAGGATCATAGCATTTCAAAATGGTTCTAAATTGGAGATCCTGACAAACACCAGCCTGTACTCAACAACAGAAAACCTATGATTTTATGTCAGTGACACCCTCAATCTGCTGAGGGTGCTACTGACAAGTTTGAAAATCAGTGACTGCTTTTCATGTTTAAAACTTTAGGGGGGAATTTGAACAGATGACTGGGATTAATTGGGAATGGTTGGGAAGGAAACAGTGTCTCTGCTGGACACAGGCGGTTTTATCTCGACAACCTTGGGACCAACCATTTCATTTTCTAGTATTTGTAACGAAGAAGACGGCAGATGAAACCTTTAACACCTAACTGAGATGGAGACAACAAGAAGAGGCAAGCGAGACGCAAACTTCCAAATTCTCTTCCCTTTTGGTTGATCATTTGTCTTTAAAATGGCTGTCTTAAGTTTCAGTCAACCATAAAATCTTCGTATCTTTCTAGGTTAATAAGAAGCCCAACTTCAACTCAAATAAAAGAAACTATCCCTACAAGGCATCTCTAAAGCTCCCTATCCCACACAGAGCAAATACACGGGTAGGCCTTCATGCACTCTTTGCACACAATATCCTGGGAGATGAAAGCAAACTCTTAAACCAGCTCAATATCTGCTCGGAGATGTGTAATCACTTGTTGTGGAAATGATGCAATCTCTGGCCTCATCTTCCAAAACAATGAAATCATTATCATACAGTCACACATAAACACAGCAGGGAATTAAATCCAAATCTTTGATCTCACCTGTGGTCCCAAGATTTTTGTAAAACCGGTACTCCAAATGTAGCTGTGGGGCCCTCGACTTCACTGGTTCCTACACGACGTGCACGTAAAAGATTACATTCATTTTATAGTAAAAAAACAAACAAACAAATCACACACACACACACACACAAAAAAACTCTTATTAAAACAAGAAGCATTGATTAGGCTCTTTATACTGATTGTCGGTTTTCCTTGAGGTCTGACCCTGTTTTTGTCTGATTCCATTTTTGCTCTCTTTGTACTAAAGATGCATATAAGAGGAAAAGTCTACTTCAGGTACTTTTAAAATAGTAGTTTAAAAAAATTTATAAAATCAAAAGATTGCAAGAGTATCTCCACTTCAATCCAAACGTATATCCCTCACCTTTATTGAACAAACAAACAAATGCACTGAACTATATGCCAAAAAGATAGTGTGGATACAACACATCTAATTACTAAAAAACAAACAAACACATATTTAGGTATTTGATCTGTTGTTTATCGAGTAAAGCTAATCAACGCAAAAACTGATCTCTAAGCAATTGATTGGTGCACATCTAAATAAAATAAATTCCTTTTTCTCCCCCTCTAAAATGTAAACAGTCAAAGGTTTTAAAAAAATATTCATGCACATTAGTAGTAATGAGTAAAATGTTAAAGTGCAGAGGACTTACCAGTTTAATGGCTACATACTCATTTGTGTAGAGATTTTTACCTAAAATAAGACAGAAAAGTAAAAGTATATGAAAACTCTGCCATTTCAACTGGGTGTAGGTTTTTCACCCCTTCACCATTCTGTATCCTTAACACTGATGATGGCTACTTTAGGGATGATTCGGCCAGACCTTACATCAAATCAGGACAGCTTGATGTAAGACCATTCCAAATTATGTCCATTCGATAGAACGTTAATATTTAGTTTGAAAAACTGAGATTTAAGCAATTTTTTTATGTTCTAATCAATAAATCCATAAACAAGCACATACATATTTAAGTAAATGGGCATAAGAGTTTGTGTACAAGTACAGGTGAAGGTAGAAAAAAAACGGAGTTAAGAAATAGAGTTTAGATTGGGCCTAAAAAAATCCAAACAGACCAAGACCGATCCGACACACTAACACTAATTTTAGGACCAAAGCAAACCAGACAATACTTTAATTAAGCTTTTACTGCTTTTAATTGTAGCCCATTCATTTGATTAACAAGTGCAATATTTCCTGTTTTTAGCATCTTTTTTTTTAAACATCTTCCTGCTCTATTTTGTTGCTTGTTGTAACTGCAGGGTGAGTCAGGTGCAAATGATCTGGGATGTGTGATTGATGAGAGTGGAGCAGGGTGAGCTGCATGCACATTTAAAATCAATCTAATGAACGTCTGCACCTTCATTTCCATCTTTTCTCAACAGGGCAGGCTGCCTGCTGCTCTGTTTATTCCATATCAAGCAGATTAACACAGCTTTACATTGCGCATTCCTCTTTCGCTTTATCTGTGCTGTGTGTATTGTAGGCTTATTAAATGTGCCAAAGACCATCAAGGAGATAATTTTGGTCCAACCCGGCCCGAATATCAGGTTGGCCTGACCAGGAGATTCCTCGACTACTCAACATGACTTGAGCAACTGATGCCGCGATTGTTTCTTCAGTTCAGCGTCATTTCAGAAACCCCACTTACCGAGCTTCAGTTCCCCAAAGTTTCCACAACCGATCTTCTTCCCCACGCGAAAATTAGGTCCGACCATGAGAACGCCGGACGTGTTCGAGGAGCCCGACGGTCGGTGTCCACTCCGGTTTCCCTGATTAACTTTGGTGCTTCTAGTCGTCCGCTCGCCATATTTATCTCTTTGTTGATCCATGGCGTGCTGCAGCACTGGTCAGCGGGAGCCTCGAGTGACGGACAAAAAAAGGCCTCCTGGGCCGGGCCCACCGCAGCAGCCACAGCCCTGGTTACTGGTGGCACCTGGATGGCACAGTCACTCTCCAGAAACTGGAGCTGTTAACCTGCGGGCCTCCCCGACCTCGCCCTCTCAGCTAGATCAGTTGTTAGGCCTCGACATCTGTCACACAGGGAAGGTAGAGACCTGAAAAAATTAGAGAGAACAGGTTAGATCTCAGATATGTGTGTCTGAAAGGGCTTAACTTATATTGTTACGATGAAATATAGTAGATTGAAAAAAATTTAGGCCAGAATGTAGGAAAAAATAACTAGGCTTGACAAGCCTTCCTAAATAGTTCTTATTCACAAAGCAAACTGTGCAATGACCTCTAAACACCAAAACAGCAATTAAGCAAAATTTATTTAGAAAATTCTTTAAAGACAACTTCACTTAAGTTGTTACCAAAAAAAAACACAGCACAAGAAAGTAAGAACACGAATCCGATGGAAAGAAACCAACAAGGAAGAAGAACCCCGTTTAAAGATATCTTTAAACATATCTTTACTTATCAGGTTCAAAGCTAAAGCTTTAAACTTTCATGTGTGCGTATGTGTAAACTTACAGGAAGAACAGAACAGAGTTTCTTAGCAGAATTCATTCATAAAGAAAGTACATAATTTTCAATGTTCAAAATAAGTCTGTATTGGACAGGCCTTATTAAAACAAATCAAAAAATACCCCATCAAATTCCACGTTGTTGTCGATTTTTTCTTCTTTTTTTGCCAGTTCTGTTGCTTTACATTGAATTACGTAGAAAAACTGTCAAAAAAAAGTATGCATACCCTTGTTGTTTCTACAGCATGCAGGAGGAAAAGTAGCGGCTATGTGCTGCTAATCAAAGCAACTTGAGAAAATGCTCAGCAACAGGACGATCACCTCAACGAGAGCAGCAGTTTTGGCAGTTTGCTGGCCTGAAGAGTGCAGGTGTTCGACGCTACGCCATAAAGAAAAAGGCAGAAACAATCAACCTTAGAAAAGGCGGCAAAATATCAAGAAAATATGCAACTGTGATAAATGAGATGACAATAGCGATTATGATTTTCAATCAATTTTTTTGCACACCTGACAGTCCGGTAGGCTCGGTTCGATTGGTGTCCAAAATCGCAACATCTGTTACATTTTCGCTTTCCCACTGCGCCGTGTCAAGTGGACTAAAAGCCTGTTTGGATCTGGTCACATCAGATCCTGATATCTAAGCTTTTCTCTCATCAAAACAACTTTCCTTTTGTAATTTTTAAGATGTTTTTTTTATTCTTATAAGGATTCTGTTTTCTGCTGATATGACTATATATATTTAGGCCTGTCGCGGTAAACAATAAATCAATTAATCGCACAATAAATTTAAACTATCCACCTCATTTCAACTATCGGCTATATCGTTTCTTCCTGCCTTTTTCTGTTCTTAGAAAAGAAAGCGATTAAAAACAACAACAACAACAAAAAGACTCATTCATCACCTTTAAAATGAGCACGGGTTGCGCAAATAGGTCAACGGTGGCTCACCTTAAAAAAGTACTGCTGTCCTTAAGAGATGGCGATCAAGTCACAGTGGTCACAGAAAACACAGCGAGCAGTTTTAGCATCAACACAAAGCTTAAGGCATAGTATATCATCACAAAGGCATTACACACACCACCCACAGCTAAAACCCGCCGAACAACGCCAGAGGAGAGTATTATGTCAACAGTTACATAAAGACACGACTACCTCCACTCGACTGCCGATCTAATAATCGCTTGATTACTGCTGATGAAGACAGCTCAGTGTTTTATTGTGTAATAATGACAAGTTATGTTTCGTTTATAGTGTTACAATCCATCTAGTTAGGTCCACTGCAGCAAAATAAACATTCAGGTTTTGCTCAAAAGTATCCATTTCACAAAAGAAGAAAAAAAAAATCATTTAAAAAACCTATTAGAAATTCAGTGTAAAAAAAAAAACTGTTTTGAACACAATGGCATAATTCTTGAGCATGGTAAGCCTGATGCTGATGGTATTGTGTGTGTGTGTGTGTGTGTGTGTGGTGTGTGTGTGTGTGTGTGTGTGTGTGTGTGTGTGTGTGTGTGCGCGTGCGTGTGTGGGCTTCTGGATGACTCATGCTCAGTGTTGCTTGCACAGATCTCAGCATCAAAGACAGCCCGTTTGCTCTCAAGGGCAACAGAGCGCCGTTGCTATTACATAAAGCCGAGAGCATAACACAACAATAATAATAATGAATAATAATAATAATAATAATAATAAATACGTTTTCAGAGCCAAGATGCAATCGGCTTCCTTTGGTCAAATAATGATTTGTGGGCCGTTCTAAACCAAGCGTTTTGATTAGCGACCGAGGAAGAGCGCCTTCATCTTCGCACGCATACACACACGAGCCAGGCCCTCGAAACGCTTTCATTCAGTTCACACCGCACGATTATATCGGAGGCACCGCAGCTCACTTTACAGCTGCAAGGTTGTTACAGAGATAATGACTTGTGTTTATAAAGGGAGAGGTCAGCTACAGTGATTTTAGGGTTGTGTGTAGAAGGCTAGAAAAAGGGCAAAAAATTAAAAGAAAAAAACAGTCTAGTTACTGAATTTAATGGAAAGAGCTGTTGCATTTCTGTTACGCCCTGGTTTGCATGTCCATCCCAAATATTTGTGTAAATGCTACGATACCCTGGTGAATTTTGCTACTCCAGGTTATCACACAGACCCATGCTTATGCATCATTCATCCACGCAGCATTGCTGGGGTCACTCTGGATCTCAGACATGCCCAGACATGCCTACCAGAAGACTACCATGGAGACGTAAACATGAGGTAAAACCTGCAACATCTTTACCGTGGTTTTCCTGTGTTATTTTAACTGATTGAGCATGCAAATTGTCAAGACACAAACTAATGTGTTGTGGAAGCCAAGCAGGTGTCTGAAAATAGAAACTGAGTGTGCTGCACATCTCTTTCAGTTGGAACTGTGTAAAGGGTGTAGCAGGACTGTGTGATCCCTGATGAGCGGTGGGGAATCCCCGGCCTTCGTCCCTGTGAAAGCAACACGTCTCCAGACAAAGTGAGGACGTGTTGCGTGACACACACCTGTTGGCTGAACTTAGAGAAAAATGCATTCCTCAGACGGAAAACACATCAAATCATTTGATTTGACCTTTTATCGACTGATGGATTCTAGAACTTATCATGTCTGTAAGAAACTTGCAAATGCCACGACTCAAGTAAGTTTCCTCCAGCTGTCTGCAGTTAAATCAGACCAAACTTTTCTTGTTTTTATGTCAGTTGGAGTTATTTCTATTTGCTGAATGTCAAATTATATTTCTTTCTCAGAATTCAGAAGGTTATATGCTTTTGCTTAGGGAATATCGTCTTAATCTGTATGTACGGTTTATTATAAGCCTGGCGGGCCACCAGGCTTTACTTGTTTTTAAATAGTTCTTTTTTTTAATACAGTAGAGACAGATTAAGCCAAGTTTATAGTTGATAAGTTATACTGGGCATGAGGCAGTGCGCACCAACCACACGCTCCCTACATGCTAACATTTTCAAATTATGATGCCTGCTTGTGCACCTCCGAATTTTTGTAACTTTTAACACTTTTCAATACAAAAATACGTCAAGTCGCTTGTGGACTGGCCCTCCCACAGGGCTCAGACGGTTTTCTGGAGGAAACCCCGAGTATGACTTGAGTCAAACATTTTGGGTTTCCTTCCACAAGCTTCTCATGATAGCTTGCTTGGAGCACCATCTGTTTTGTTCTTAAAACACTTTGTAATCACTTTAGTTGTTGACTTGGGGTAATTGTCCAATTGAAGACCAATCTGCCCCCAAGCTCCGACTTCCTGGTTGATGTCTTCGGAGGTTGCTTCATAATGTTCTATCGTCATGATGTCATCTACTTTATGAAATGCAGCAGTTGCCACTTCCATAATTCACAGTTGGGACGGTGCTCCCAAGATTACAAGCGATCCCCCTTTTTCCTCCAAACGCAACATTGGTTATAATGGCCAAACAGCTCTACTTTGTTTTCATCAGATCACAAACTGCAGTCTGGCATTTATTGTCTTTATTTTGGAGCAATGGTTTCCTCCTTGCTGAGTGACCTATCACTGCCCATGTTGATACAGGACATGTTTCATGTTTCCTTGTACATAATGATACTATCTTACTAGCTCCTGCTAGCATTTTCACAAGATTTTTGGCTTTAATTCTATGGTCAATTTACACAAGTACACATATGTTGTCATGAGAATTATATTCTGAGACTTTTAAAATCTTCTTTCCAAGGGCGAAGGGTAGTAAATGTATCTCACATGTTGAATGAAGGTGTAAAATACCTGTTAGTGATGGCAATATGTAATGTTTCAATGAGGCTTGCGGTTTTGTTTTGTAACTGATTGAATTTTAGCCCAGCTAAACACTATTTAATGGCAATTTTGGACTTTCAAATTGTCTATATAACAATAAAATGAAGAAGCCAAACTGCTCCAATTTTTATCCAATTCAAAATAATTTGTTCATTGTCATCATTAAAATAAATTCACTTTAGCGTAATACATTCAAACAGTATCTGATTAAAGATACTATTATAATTTTAAACCCAAATTATAATGCAATGCAGTTAAATTCAGTTGATCAAATCATTATGCCAACTGATATAAATATTATCTGGTAAAATAAAGAAAATGATATTGAGAGTGTTTATTTAATGACTCTAAAACAGCAAAGGACTGTTAATAGTTTGTGAAAAAAAATACAGTAGAACACCATGACAGCGATGATCAGTAACAAAACGCATCCCTTGAGTTAAATACAGCAGTTTACTTTCTCAAACTATATATTTTTAAAAATAGCAAATATTTCATTAAAAACTTCAACAAATGTAAACGGCTAAACACTTTCAGCTGAACTGAATTCATTACAACAAATACTTTCTGACCCATTTTGTCTTTAGTGAAAACCGTGAATGCTCAGAGAATAGTGATTAACCTTCAGTGGAAAGATCAGCGTTTGAGGGGGTCCTGCCAGCAGCGCAGACCCCCGCTGTGGCAGTGCCAGCTGACTATCATTCCAAATAAACTAACTCATCACTATATAGACTCTGACTACTCAAATATACATCGATTCTCAAACGTCACAGAACTAATGAACACATCTAAACCTTATTAAAGCAAATGTTTATACATGCATGGTTGAGAACACAATCTGCCAAAACTGTAAATGTCTCGGAAAAATCACACAACTGCATGGTAATTTGAGGCCATTAATTCCTCCATCTCACGTGTGTCAGTGTTATGAACGTGCTGAAGAGCTACTGCCATTGGATTAAGAAAAATATATACATAATTCTAATAAGACTCTTCTTCTTTCCCCCCTTGAGTTCCATTTAATGAATTAGTTTTTGTGTACAACTTTGATTTGTCATTCCTAGATGCCTGAGCTGACTTCTCTGGCGATCAAGATGTAAAAAATAAAGCCTAAGGTTCCAAATGGCAACATTTTATGATATTTTAAAGTCCTGAATTGTTTTTATTGTTTCCCTGCATCTCTGCATATCGTGTCTGACGAGTATCGTGACTTTAATTTCAATCTATTGCGCAAGCTTTATAATTTTTGACATTTATCTCATTTAGAGCAAACATTTTGACTCAGCACAGGCGGGTTTACAAGCAACAGTCTTTAAAAAAGAAAAAAAAAAGTTGGTGTCAAACTTGTTATTTTACTGTTTCAACGGTTTGAAGTCGTTTTACAGAAACGATAAAGGAGGAAATGGAGTTTTCTTATGGCTAACAGATATGAACCAGACACCTCCTGCTGCGCACTGCTGGTCAGCTTGATGCATAAAGAAATACAAATGTGTCTGTTTGGAAATAAAAACAACAATAAAAGAAATTAATAAACCTCACTATGTTTTGGAAATTCAAAGAGTGCTACCCAATAAATCTTTTTTTTTTTAGACATTGCCATTATAACTCGAAGGTGGAAACTACACTTTTGCAGAATATAATCGTTTAACTTAGAGTACTTAGTTGTAATTATATATTTGTTAAAAAAAATGTGTGAAAATCTCATCTTATTTAGATTTAACTTACTCAGTTTATATATATATATATATATATATATATATATATATATATATATATATATATATTAACACACAGCAAAATGAAATCATGACTGATCCTGAATGAACACTGACTTTGACGACTTCTAATCCAATGTTTTAGACAATGTGAGTAATGTTTTGTGCTTTGCTGCTTCTGCTGTGAAGTCTTTCTGTGTGACCACACAAGGAAATGTAGGTCGAGGTGCAACACCTGACCACAAGCAAAGGAAATGTGCAGGTGCATTTAAACAGAAGTCAGAAAAACAAAACTTCAGCGTCTTAACTCAAGACATAGGAAATGTGCCGATCCAGCGAGCTCTCCGGTGTCTACGCGAAACAGACCGAGAGCAGAGAAGCAGCTCGGGCGTAAAAAATACGCTTCAGTCGTGTTAAAATGAAGATGATCGATCTTTAGGAGGCCTGCGGTTGGTCCAGAATGGGGAGACGTGTTGGCAGCTGTGTACCACTGGGTCCCGGACAAAGCCGTTACTGGCAGTCCGACATAAAGCCAGGCCAGACCGAGCAGGGAGCGAAATAAACATGGACGAACTCAGTACATGTAGCCTCTCTTAACATTAAACATAAATAATAAGCCGTGTAGCTAACGCTAGCAAAACATAGCTTAGCGACAGGTTGCTCTGGTATAAATATACTTTGAGTACAAAACAAAAAGAGGGAAAAACGGAGTGGGAATATTTGTTTCCCCTGTAAACATAGTTGATTTATATATATATATATATATATATATATATATATATATATATATATATATATATTTCTTTACAATTTGTTAACGACAAAAACGGCCAAGTGATGGCTGGGTGACAGCTGGACCGAGCGCGACAAGGAAATTAGCCCCGTTAGCAACGAAAATATTAGCTTAAAACCTTTTAAAAAATGCTCCTTCCCCGGCTCCGCGAGAGCACAACGCAACGGGCTCACCTTCACGGGGGATAAATCCACACGACCAGGAGTCCGCTCGTGTTCCGCTTTGGTCCAATTCAACCGAGCGCTGGGGGGGATTCATGTGAGGCTTTCCTGCGCTCTCCTTGTTGCCGAGGTTTTCACGCTAACAACCGTTAGCGACTCTCTCCATTCTTCGTCTGCCGTGAAAAGGTTCCAACACACCGGATGGAGAAAAACGGCACCGCCCGCTTCTCGCGGCACACTTCCAGGTCAAACCGAAACTACCAAATTATTTATCGTACTTAAAAATAAGAAAGAAATATTTGGGGCCGACAAGTAGCACATTTTGTTCGAAAAATATTTTTAAGGCTAAATAAGGAATTATGTCATTACACAGTTTATGTAAGGAGACAATAAGGGGGGGATGTCAACCGGGAATAAATAAGAATTCAGTTGCATTTTTTCCTACTGTAATAGTACAACACAAAGCATTAATCTTTCATAACCTTTTTTTTATTATTTTGATTTCGTTTTATTTCACTGTCAACAGCACTACAAACTAGTGAAGACTCAGGCGTCCCTATCCATTAACTAAGTTTTGTGTTGAGGAGTTACCCATTTGGGATTCAAACCTGGTCAGGCATGGCCGATTAAAAGTTATCAAAGTTTTGCGTTTTTGTGCATGCTGAAGGGGGTAGCGGGTGGGAGGGGGGTTGCCGGGGGTCAAAGTTCACATACTTGCGATGAAAAACGAAACTGTTGCATCTCCAACACCAAAACCTACAGAGGCACCAAACTTTCAGTGATTGATCACAATTGGGTGTCCTACTATACCCAACGGTCAAATGATGACGTCACTTGAGCCATGCCCCCTGAGAACAGGAAGTGTCATGTCTTACTCTGAACGGTCCCTATCTGACCCCTTTGACCCAATCAACATGAAACTGTGTCCAGAGATAGAAGACATGCTGGTGTGATGTGGATTCCAACCCCGACTGGTTTCGATGGAGTAGGTGGGCATGACGGCATGGCAAAGTGACATTTGGCTCTAAATTGCCATGTCCATTATATGTAGTATATTCAGGCAAAAAAAGAAAAAAGATCCCCAGTTTTTAATTTGAAAATAAAAATGTGTTCTGTGATTACTTTTACATTGAGGATTTTTGGCCCACCTGACAAAAAATTAGTTCAGAGATATCACAGACACTCTTTCCCAAGTACTCTCACACATTTCCAACCATCAGCACCAACTAACTTCTAATTAGTTGCTTTGAAAGATAAAATTGGTCATTTGTTGATTTTTAACCAGTAGAAGTTACAGTATAAAGAAATGGCTCAATCAAATCCTTTCATAAAATGAGTAGTGGGACAGGTTGCTTGATGCGTCTCTAGGAACAAGCACACAATTGTCTACAGCCTGAAGGAAAAACCACATTTACACTGAAGTCCTCATTATAGTTGACCCTGTTCCTCCAAAACGTTCACAGCGGTGCACAAGTTTAAAGCCTGGCTTCTTTTTTGTGGATGAAGTTACTGTAGGAAAGCCATTTTACTGGACAGCAATGCCCTTCTCTGTATACTGCCACCTGCTGGCCAAATATTCTACATTCATAAAACTTTCTAGTACAGTATCTGCCTCTTTGTGAATATCTTTTCAGCCTTACCTTTCTACAAAACAAAGGACAAACAAATGACCAAAAAAAGTGAATACTTATGTAAATCTGAATATAAATTTTGGTTTGCCATATTTAATATATTTGCAAAAGACTCCCATTTTCCACATCATCATAGTATTTGTGTGTTAAATCTTGAGGAAAGATATTAATTTAATTTAGAATAAGGCTGTAATATAAAATGTGGAAAAAGTGAAGTGTTTTGAAGAATTATTTGGTTCTGCTGCACCCATGAACACAGGATAGAGACACTGCTGAAAACAGCCAATCCTGACTGAGGTCATCCCCAAAGCTTGCATGAAAATGCAAACATTTACTGTACTATAAAATATGCAATAAGCCTAGAAACACGAAGTTTTCAAAAAAAGAGTGAGAACCAAAAAAAAAAAAAAAAATCACGACAGATAACACCCAAAGCTTAGTCAAACATTTATTTTGTACATTTGCCTGAACACCATTTCAAAGAAAATGAATGTACTAATGCAAAGTGGTTATAAAAATAAAGCACATTTTATGTAAAGGACAATCAGAAAACAGTAAATAAGGAACCGTAACACTTATTGTCAGTTTTTAACCAGTCGCCCGCCTATTAGGCAGGAAAACGATCAAATAGTGTCTGTGTGATTCAAACTCTGTCACAGGTCCACGTTCCCTCATTTGGGCTGGCGACAAAATAAATGTAGCAATATTGAATACATGGACGAAAAAGTCATTAATACAATAAATATAATAGTGGGACAGATTGTACTTTCCTGTTTAGCTTGCCTTACAACTAATCAATTGGTCAAAACTTTGATAAGCTTGTGGCGTTAGTTCTGGACTGTAGCACTGTTTCTAATATCCAAAGTACATTGTGTTATAATAAACCTTAAGAATGCGTTAATACATTTAATAGTCATCAACACTGGTGTTTTAGTATAAAAAAGAAAAGCTTTCCGTTTGTGCGATCCATTTTGGTGCATCGAACTTTGCAACATGCATCTATTCCACAGCGGCTGCTGGGAGTGGAGCGACTATCGTCCAATGTAAACTACAATGACACACGGTGGAGTTTCTCGGTATGAACGATCCACTGACGAGACGGCGAGTCCCGCACGTTATTCAGGCAAGTTCATATCAGGCTCGAATCTTGCTTTACAGTCACCCTTCAAACAAACCCGCCCACCCCCCAAACACAAAATGTAGTCAAAGACATATAGATACATGTGGCAGCTTATTATATCAAACGTCTGTACAGAAGAATTCATTCGAATTATAAAGACAAAGAGAAAAAAACGGACGGAAGTTCCTTCTGCGTTTCAAAAACTTTCCTCTCTCTCTCTCTCTCTAAACTTCTGGTAAAGAGGTAAGAGTGTTCAAAAAGGCAGTTGGGGTTTTCTTTTTAGAAAAAGAAGAAAAAAAAAAAAAAAAAAAGGAAAATCCACTTTATTAAACTATCGCCTTCGCTTCAGGCAGGAACGCCTCCCAGAACTTTATGAGCTGGAATGAAATCAGAGCGAGACAAATAAAAACTGTTAAAACATGGCGAGACCAATTGCTTAAAAGCTTTTTAACTTTGATGGTTACAGTGAAATATGCTCACTAACTGCACTGTTACCTCAGTTTAAAAAATAAAAGAAAAAGAAGTTGCACACAAATTATTTTTTCTTAAACATTTCAAATTAGGAGTTCGGTATTCTTATAGTATTTCACAATCTAAATATTAGATTAGATCATACAGAAAGCATGACTCGTTGCTCAACCTCCCTACATTCACTTTGCACAGCTTACTACACATTTATTGTGGTTGCATTACCAAAATTAAGAAATGGTTGGAGTACAATACATTTTAACTCATTTTATAAGCTCTACGCAATCAGACCCTCTAGTCTAGAAGCACATGTTCTTGTTTATTTAAGTTAAGGGGAAAATATTGCAGGTGGTCATTATGATGTTCTGCTAAAGTCATTAAGAAACCAAAAGGTGTCACAGGAAAATGTTGCCAGTTGCTCTTAACATGATAAATAAAAGTAATGAATAAATTTTCATTTTTTCAATAACTGAAAAAGAAAAGAACTTAATCGAAACCATAGATGCCTGATACAACACTTTATTTGGTGTGATAATTACCCGTTGTTGAGACTGCAGCATTGCCTCTAAATACTTGATTATCTGACTCTTGAAGTCCTTTGCTTTTTCTTTCTGCAATGAGAAGATTATCGTCATGTCTTAAGATCGTTGGCAATAAAAATAAGCAAATTCAATAATAATAATAAAAAAAGAAGATGCAGGAATTCTTTGCTCACTTGATGATATTTTACAAATAGTGACTATTGCCAATCTTTTCATGGCAACATAGCAGAAATTGGGTCAAGGGGACAATCACAGAAGATGACTAGTATCTTTACAAAGTTAAAAACACAAGAAATAAACATCTTTTGGATAGTGCAGATGAAGGGTAAAAACAAACAAAAAAAAAAAGAGCTAAAAGTTGCATTGAGATGGAAAAACTGTACAACGCACCTCAAATCTGAGAACCTCCTTCCGGACGGTCATCCCAATCCTGTCGAAGTCTCTCTCGTACTGAGTGACCTTCGCTTCCCACTGAACAAACAAAGAAAATTATATCATATGATTCAAGTTATATTTAAACCTACATATTCAATCATGAACCAGCCCTGATATGTGAGAAATCTGTTATAAATATATTTGTTTGTCTTCAGTGGTTGGAATGCAGCACGTTTCATTTTACGGTTTAAATAAACTCAATCAGACAGTGTCAAGTTTTGTCCTTGTGTAAATAACAATGCGACAGTATTTTCCTTTATTGATATTCCATAAGACTCTCATACTGACCCCTGATGATTCACAAGCCAGAAAACAGTGCCCACATTCTGTACTCAACAAAAAAATTGTAAATTGGATTTGTTTAACACATTTTTTCAAATTTTTTTTTATAGATTTTATTTTTATAACGAAAAGGCAGATTAATGTGAACTGTAAGAAATTTTACCATTTGTGCTTTTAGCTTTCAGCTAAACGACACATCCAGTTGTTTGAACGCTGACCGCCTGTTGTTAACAGTTAAGACTCCCCCAGGTGATGCAATGTGATAATTTTTCTGCCAAAGGATCGCGCCGTTACCTCAGCTATCTCTTCCTTCGCCTGCTGCAGCTTGTCGGGTTTGTTAGCCCACAGCAGCTTGGCTTCGGCTTCCCTCTTCTTCTGCAGCGTGCTCTGAGCCTCCTGCCATCGCTGCCACGCCCGCACACGCTGGTCAAAGCAACCCTGTGAAAAAACAACAAAAAAAAACATTCCAGATGGGTTTTGATAGACATAAGTAGATATGTGCCAATTAACCAGTCGGTTGTTCAAACTCGGCTGAACAAAAATGCCTTTAAAGTGAAACCTCACGTTTTTATTCGGCAGTTTTTTTTTGGTATATTAAGATGCCACCGTACCCTCACGGCGCCGAGCAAGCGTATGTAGTCGGCGAGCAGCTCGGCGAAGATGAAGAAGTCGCTTCCTGCCTGCTCCTGGTGCAGCTGCTCCATCTTGTCCTCCACCTCGGCCAGCTGGGAGAG